ATTCATTCAGTTTTTTGAAGCCAGTGGAGACTCAGAGCCTGGAAGCCCAGCCCCTGGCCCCTGGCCTCTGGCTCACAGTGGGTGGTTCCCTCCCCCACCCCCAGCCCCACCTACGGGGCGCATAGGTCCAAATGTCACCCAATGGCCCTCTGTTTCTGCTCCTCTGTGAGCTGCCGAAGAGCTGGGGTGAGCCCCCGTCTGCCCCCCAGCTCACAGAGAACACCCCCCTACCCCGCAAGTACTGTGGTGAGGGCATATCAGTCCTCTGCAGCGTCAGGCTGAGCTGAGCGGTTGTCATTTCTCTTCCACGTGTCAGAACTCTGCATTCCCTTCCACAGTTCACAGGCTGGCCTCTGACCTGCCTGCAATTTCTTTCCAGGGCTGACAGGTTGGGTTAAGAGAGACTGCTCCCCTGAGCCGAGACATACTTTTGGCTGCAGCCCTCCCCTTGCCAAGAAGGCCCAAAGCTCCTGGCTCTGCACTTTCTCTGGACAGAAACTGTTACCTCACTTTCCTACCATCCCCTCCCTCCATTGCAAAAGGGCCAAGCTGGCCCAGGGACCCGTTCTGTTCAGCCTGTTTGGGTTAACGCTTTTTTTAAAAACATAATTTCTTTTTGAGGTTAAAATTCACCTAAGATGAACCATTTAAAGTGTACACTTCGGTGCATTTTTGTATATTCAAGTGTTGTGCAACTATCACCAGTATCTAATTCCAGAACATTCCTATCACCCCAAAGGGAACCCCGGACCCATTAGCAGCCACTTTCCATTACCCCCTCCCTTCACCCCCACCCCCCGCAACCACTAATCTGTTTTCTGTCTCTGTGGCTTTGCCTCTTCTGGACATTTGATATAAACGGAGTCGTGTAATCTGTGGCCTTTTGTGTCTGGCTTTTCTCACTCAGCATCATGTTTTTGAGGGTCATTCGTGTTGTAGGGTTCACTCCTTTATTGTGAAGCACATACTTCTAAAATACAGTTCTGTGAATTTTTAAAATATGTTCCACCCTGATCACCACCATAGCTTAAGATATAGAATTTGCCAGTCCCTCGAGAGCTCCCCAAGGCCACTTCTGGGTGAGTGCCTTGCCTCAAAATATCACTTTCCCAGTGATCCTCACCTGAAGGTGGTTGTGTCCGCCGTCCCACAAGGGACATTTATCTCAACTAGGCACATGCTACTGGCATCTAGTGGGGAGAGGCCAGGGATGCGTCTCAACATCCTCCAATGCACAGGAGAGACCCCCTACAACAAAGAATCGTCCGGCCCCAAATGTCAGTGGTCCAAAGTTAGGAGACACTGGGCTCCCCCGACTCCATGGATTACTTCTGCCCATCCTTGAGGGTCACGGGAATGGGATCATGCAGTGAACCCTATTTGTGTCATATGCCTCATGCCCAGGGCTGTGTATGAGTTCGTACCTTGTTCTTTTTGGCTGCGTCGGGTCTTAGTTGCAGCATGCGGGATCTTCGTTGAGGCATGCGGGATCTTTCGTTGTGGCGTGTGGGCTCTTCATTGTGGTGCGCGGGCTTCTCTCTAGTTGTGGCATGTGGGTTTTCTCTTCTGTAGTTGTGGTGAGCAGGCTCCAGGGCGTGTGGGCTCTGTAGTTGTGGCGCATGGGTTCCAGAGTGCGTGGGCTCTGTAGTTGGCGGCACGCGGGCTCTAGTTGAGGCGCCCAAGCTCAGTAGTTGTGGCACACGGGCTTAGCTGCCCCGTGGCATGTGGGATCTTAGTTCCCTCACCAGGGATGGAACCTGCATCTCCTGCATTGTAAGGTGGATTCTTTACCACTGGACCACCACGGAAGTCCCCATACTTTGTTCTTTTTCATTGCTGCACCATATTCCATTGAATGAGTATACACCCATTAATTTTCCATTTGCCCGTCGATGGTCACATGGCCGGTGTCCAGCATCTGGCGATGGTGAATGAATCTGCTATGAACATTCATGTATGTGACTTTTGGTGGCAGAAGCTCCCATTCCCATTGAGAATAAACCCAAGAATGGAATTGCTGGGTCAGAGCAATTGACAGCAATTAGTAGATCAGTCTGTGAGAGTTCAAGCTCAGGGAATTTTGCACAAAACCCCTGACTTCTCTCTTGAAGAATCTATTCTGTCAATTCCGAGCCTGACTTCCCATGTAGTAGCTCTCAGCTGAAGCTGAGTAGTAGCAAGCGGCTGCCGGCTTAAGAGGGGGTGCATGTCCAGCTCCCCACAGCTGTCACCTTCCCTCCTCGCTGCCTCACACCTGCCCCATTTCTGGTTTTCTTCCCTTGACAGCATCTGGCATTGAGGCCCCTGTCCTGGGCTCATGCAAGTTCGGGAACCACCTTCCTCCTGCCCTACTGCAGCCTGGACCCTGCTGGCATTTTTCTTGGCAACATCCTCAGAACCTCCTCTCTGCCCAGACCACCAGGGTCTTCTATCTTCAGCTGGTGGACTCCTGCTGTCTGCTTACAGGTCACTTCCCCAGGGCAACCTTCTCTGAGCCCCCTGGCTGGGTAGCGCTTCCAGCTTGAACTCTCCCACAGCCCCTAACTGTCTTCCATCCCTCACATCGTGGATTCCTTACCAGTTCCCAGTCAAGCAGGACTGCATCTGTCTCCTTCGTTTGCCCACCACCCAACTCAATGCACAGTGAATACTGGCCATGGGGCATGGGGCATGAAGAAGAGAGAGGGAGAGCCCTCCTGCCTGGTTGCAGGAGGAAGCTGGGTTCCTAGGCAGAGCTTGACATGCACACATCACTCCTCAGAACCTCATTCCCCATTGCTGGCCCTAGGGGTCAAGGCCTGAGAAAGTACCCTCCTCGCCCGTCCCCCCCCACAGTCTATACCAGCAATGGCTGGCAAAATGCAGGGCCCCTTCCCTGGGATCCTTAATTTCTCACAGGCCAGGCCCACCCCCCAACTATCCCAGCCGCCCATGCACTGTCAAAATGTCCCCCAGTCACGTCCTTCACCTCCAGGACTCTCCCTGACTCCTCACCTGTCTTCCCTCCACCAACTGTGCTCTACGCCCTCGGTAGTCCCCCACCTCCACCCCCCACCCCCGCCCTCGGCCAGACGCCTCAGCTTTCCCTCCTCACCCCTCCTCTCTCCCAAGCACTCAGCCAGCCATCGCCTTCTGCTCCTTACCTGACTCCTCCAACCTCCCCATGGCTTTATTTTCTCCCCCACTTTCAGCAGCCCCCAAGTCGGACACGCTCAGCTCTCTCCTTTCACCCGCACTTCGTCCCCTCACCCCGGACTCCTCCCCCGGCCCTGCGCCCTTCACCCTCCTCCCCTGGCCCCTGGGACTTGCCTCCAGCGCACCTGGTGGAGAAGAGGCGGGGCCTCCTCACCTGGCGGCCACAGAGCAGCGGGGCAGCGGCCCCTAGCGGCCGGGGAGGGAAGCGCAGCCCAACTGGCCTCCCCTCCCAGTTGGTGGGAATGGACCACCATTGCTGCCTGCCTGCTGTAGGTCAGACAGGACGGGGGAGGCTTCCTGGACTCTTGCCTTCCGGGAGTGAGGATGGTGGAGTGTTTGCAGTTCTCAATAGCGTGATCGAGAGGTGACATTTGAGGGCTTTCCGGGCTTCCCTGGTAGCGCAGTGGTTGAGAATCTGCCTGCCAATGCAGGGGACACGGGTTCGAACCCTGGTCTAGGAGGATCCCACATGCCTCGGGGCAACTGGGCCCATGAGCCACAACTACTGAGCCTGCGCGTCTGGAGCCTATGCTCCGCAACAAGAGAGGCCGCGATAGTGAGAGGCCCGCGCACCGCGATGAAGCGTGGCCCCCGCTTGCCACAACTAGAGAAAGCCCTCGCACAGAAACGAAGACCCAACACAGCAAAAATAAATAAATTAATTCATAAACTCCTACCCCCAACCTCTTAAAAAAAAAAAAAGAGGTGACATTTGAGTAGTCCTGATGGGGGAGGGGGGCGCATGGAGGGAGGGCGTCCTGTTGGCTCTGACCCTATGCCTCAAATCTGACCACTTCTCCCCAGCATCCTGTTCCAGGCCTCCATCGCCCTCACCTGCATTGTCTGTGAAATCCATCTCCCCAGTCTCCCGGCTCCCTCTCAAATCCTCTCTATAATTTTGTTTTAATTGAGGTAAAATTCGCAAAACACAAAATTAACCACTAACCATCTTAAAGCGAACTATTCAGTAGCATTTAGTACATTCACAATGTTATAACGTTGTACAACCATCACCTCTATCTAGTTCCAAGGCATTTTCATCATCCCAAAAGGCAACTCTGTATCCAGTGGCAATAACTTGCCCTCCCCCCTCCCCCAGCCCCTTGCGATCGCCAATCTGCTTTCTGTCTCTATGGATTTGCTGGTTCTGGACATTTCATTTCAATGGAATCATACAATACATGACCTTTTAGGTCTGATTTTTTTTCACTCAGCATAATGTTTTCAAGGTTCATCCCCATTGTAGCATGTATCAGAACTTCATTCCTTTTTACGGGTGAATAATGATTATACAACATTTATTTATCTGATCAACCACTGATGAACATTTGGGTTGTTTCCATCTTCAAACTTCTGTGAATAGTGCTGCTGTGAACGCTGGTGTACAAGTATCTATTTGGGTACCTGTCTTCAATTCTTTTAGGTACTTACTTAAGAGTGGAACTGCCGGGTCATATGGTAATTCTATGTTGTATTTATTGATCCTATGATCTGTTACATGTTCAAATAAGACCATGCCATCCCCCTGATCATAGTCTTCCCTTAGCTCCTTCTGTCACTGAGAATCTAATCCAGACCCTCCCTACAGCCTCTCAGGCTGTGTCTGGTGGTCCCACCAAGCTGGCCCTCTTGCTCTTCAAATTGTCCCGTCTGTTCCAACCACAGGACCTTTGCACTTACTGTTTCCTCTTCTTGGAACACCCTTCCCCCAGATTGCACATGATGAGCTTTCCGCTTTCAGGTCTCAGCTCAAATGTCTCCACATGCACAACCCTCCCAGCCACCTTAGCCTAAATCATACTCACCCACATCCCATCTCACGATTCTTCACTGCTTTTTCCTTCATAGGATTGTTCACGTTCTGAAATTTTCTTCTTGTTACTAGTGAATCACCAGCCTCCCCAATAAAGTGCAAGCTCCAGGAGGACAGCGACTTTGTGTCTCTTATTCACCATCATACCCTCAGCTTCCAAAACAGGGCCTGGAACCAGTGTCAGGACCAGGGTGAGGCAAAAAAAGAGAAAGCATATTTTAATGCAATACTTAAAAAAAAATAAAAATTCATGCAAAAATTCATGAGGAACAAAATGTCAAAATCTTCAATAAGAAGATAGCACCAGTTTTCCCGACGTTCCCTTTCCCCTCAGGCTCCAATGTGGCTCCATACGGCACTCATATTGATCCTGCCTTTATTTATTCTTTTTTTGCGATACGTGGGCCTCTCACTGCTGTGGCCTCTCCTGCTGTTGTGGCCTCTCCCGCTGCGGAGCACAGGCTCCGGACGCGCAGGCTCAGCGGCCACAGCTCACAAGCCCAGCCGCTCCGCGGCATGTGGGATCTTCCCGGACCGGGGCACGAACCCGCGTCCCCTGCATCGGCAGGCGGACTCTCAACCACTGCGCCACCAGGGAAGGCCCTGCCTTTATTTTAAAAGTTGATTCTTTTGGTCAGTATGGATTTTTTACATGAATTTTGGGTTTCTTAACTATTGCATTGCAATACTATTTTTCTTGATCGCTGAGTTTTTTTGACATCCTCTTAAGTTTTGTGGCCCAGGAAGTGCCTCATTCGCCTCATCCCAGTGCTTGCCCTGTCTGGAGCTTAGTATTCGCTTCCTCCATCTATTGGTGTTTGAGGATGAATGGATGAGCCAGAGGGAGGCTGGGAGCCAGGCGACCACCAACACTTGAGTAGCAGGGCAGCGGCTCCAAGCGGGGTCCTGGGTCAGGCAGTCCTACTCAGAAGCTGACTTCAATTTTTTTAACTACTTGGGCAAGCCTCAGTTTTCCCTTCTGTAACATGGGGAGAAAGTAACTACCTCACGGGGAGATCATTAATAGTAAATGAGGGACTTCCCTGGAGGTCCAGTGGTTAAGACTCCATGCTTCCACTGCAGGGGGCACGGGTTTCCCTGGTCAGGGAACTAAGATCCTGCATGCGGTGCAGCAAAAAATAAAAAACAATAAAGATAACCATTAAAAAAAAAAAAAGACTAGTAGATTGTATGATATGTGAATTATACCTCAGTAAAGCTGTTTTAAAAAGCCAAAAAATAAAAACTAAATGAGACTCGGTCCACTTCTCAGCCAGCCTGGGTCTCTCCTCAGTCACCTCCTCAGACACCTCCACTTGAATATCTATTAAACCAAATGTAACTCCTGGATCTACCCTCCAAAACCACCCCTCCTTCGAGGGTCTCCGTCCTTCCAGGTGCTCAGGCCACAGGCTTTGACCTGCCTCTTTCCCTTGCATCCCACTTCCCGTATATCTGCTCCACCTTCAAAGTACACCCAGAATCCACCCGGTGCTCACCTCCTGTCACCTCCCTGCTCCTACCCCAGTATTGATCACCTGGACCAGTGCAGTCGCTTCCTCCCTGGTCCCCCAGCTTCTGTCCTTGACCCCCACACTCTGTTCCCCCACCAGGGCCAGAGGGCACCTGTGAACATCTAAGTCAGGGCACATCCCTCCTCTGCTCAGAATCTTCCATTGCTCCCAGCTGACTCCAAGCAAAAATCAGTTCTCCCCAAAGCACACTAGGCCGGCACGATCTGGCCCATTACCTCCCTACCCTCACCTCCTCCTCCTTTTGCCCTTACTCCCTCCCTCCAGCCACACAGGCTCTCTCATGGATCCTTGAACACTCAGCATGTTTCTGCCTCAGGACCTTTACATGGGCTGTTCCCTCTGCCTGGAACCCCCTTCCCCCAGATCTCCCCATGACTCCTCCCATCTCTTCAGGTCTTTACCCAAATACCACCTTCTCAGTGAGGTCTTCCCTGACCTCCTCTATCCAAAATTTCTGTCTTCCTTCCTTAATTTTCTTCCATAGCACTTATCATCATCTGACACCCTGTATCTTTTGTCTGATTTCTCATCTGTCTTCCTGATTGGAATGTCAGCCCCAAGAACAGAGAAGCTTGTCTCCCTTGTTCACTGCTGTGGCCCCAGCACCTAGGAGGTGCTCAATACATGCTTGTTTTTTTTGTTTTTTTGTGGGGTTTTTTTGTGGTACGCGGGCCTCTCACTGTTGTGGCCCCTCCCGTTGCGGAGCACAGGCTCCGGAGGTGCAGGCTCAGCGGCTGTGGCTCACGGGCCCAGCCGCTCCGCAGCGTGTGGGATCCTCCCGGACTGGGGCACGAACCTGTGTCCCCTGCATCGCCAGGCGGACTCTCAACCACTGTGCCACCAGGGAAGCCCAATACATGCTTGTTGACTGAATGCATACCTCCCCCCACACCCAAACACAGCAGTTGGAATTAATCCCCGCCCACGCAATATCCCCCCAGCTCAATTCTGAGACCACTTTACCTGGCTTTTCATTTGAGTGAAGGCATAGGACAGAACGGGGCTCAGTCACTGCGCAAGATGGGGGTACAGGGAGCTTCCAGGAGAGCCAGGGGCACACAGAACCCCACCCATCCACCCCTCAAGGCTTGGACAGATTCACCATCCACTACCCTAGCCCCCTGCTCACTTTCCAGAGCTGCTTCCATCGTGCTTTCTGCAGCTGCCTTACCCACGGGAGGGGGATGCACCCTGAGAGGGCCTCCAGTCCTGCTGCCAGGCCACTAGGGCATTCTCAGCACCTAGCACCCGGCCACACTGAAGGCTGTCAGGGGTCCTCTGTGTTTGAAGAATAAATGGAAGGAATGAATACATGAACCGAATGATGAGGAGACCCTCAGGGTTGTACATCCTGTGCCGAGCGGGCTCTAGGAAAAGCCGGGCTGGGGACGCCTGCTGGGCAGTGGAGGTCTGAGCGTTGTTCCTGAATCCAGGAACGAACGTGTTTCATCCCCAACCCCAAGCCCCGCTCCCCCCTCGCACGTGTTCTGGGTCTGCGCCCCTCACCCACCCCCCAGCCCTGCCACACACCGGACCTAAGGAACCCAAGGTAGGACACCCATGACTGAGGGCGCCAGGCCTGAGACAGAGGACACAGAGCACTGGGGACAGGGGAGGGTGGAGGAGCGCAGCGCCCAGGACGGTCAGCATAAGAGCCTGAAGCAGTGGGCACATCACACATGGAGGGCACAGGGCGAGGGCAGAGGGCACAGGTGAAAAGAGCCACCCACGTCTGAGTACAGGGTGCCCCAGGTGCTAGGTGCGCAGAATGTAGGGTCTCCAAGACGCCGGGGGATCGCTACATGGCGTGTCCTAGGCGTGGGGCAACCTGGGTGCGGGGGTTTGCTGGCACAGGGTGCAGAGAAGAGTGGGACGTCCAGGCTCAGGATGCACAGGACGTTGGGTATCCAAGGCGCGGGTCACGCTGGGCGTGGGAATCCCGAGGCACAAGGTAGGATGCCCGAAGCGAGGAGCGCCCTGGTAGTACGGAGTAGGGCGTCCTGGGCGCGGGGACGGACACGCGCAGTGCTGGGCACTCAGAGCCCGGGCGAGACTGCGCGCGCGCGCGCGGACGCGTTAGTTTCCGGAGCCGGGCTGCTGGCGCGGCCTCCACTGCGACTGCGCAGCCCAGGGTCTTGGGAGAGAAGAGGCGCTGGGGCTGTTTCGCGCCCCCAGCCTCTACTTATCCTTCGCTTCGTGAGCCCCTCGCCCGTGAGGCCAGAAAACCGAGATGGAATGGAGGCTAGTGAACTGATCCCGGCCACGACCAGGGGTGCTCCGCTGACCACGGGCTTTGGGAGAAATAGGAGGGGCTGGGAGGGCGTCCTGGCCAGGATTTTTCCAAACTGAGCCGGGGGTTTCTTAAAGCATGTCACTCCTTACCCTGATATAAGTTAAAGACACTGCCTCTCGCAGCCACTGAAGAATGCAAGTTAGAGCCATCTCCCAGGCACGCTCATAGGTTCCCAGGGTTGCTCCACAGAGGGAGGTGGGTGGACTGCTTAGGACCGGAGGGTGGAGTGGTGGGAGGAGGCTTGGAGCCAGAGGGCTCTGGAGATGCTCAGCTTTCCCTGAGATGCACGTTCTTCCCCCTTTCAGTCCTGCTGGGTTTATAGAAAGCTGACTGTGTGGATGTGGGGGGAGGGTTCCTGGTTGCCCCCTGTGGCACCGCCCCCTCTCCCCAGCACCCCAAAGCCTTCCGTGGGTCCTACCAGGTGCTGTCGAGATGCCTTCAAGTGGGAAATTGATGTGTGGAGACGTGGAACCTCCCCCATCCTCCCATCCTGGTATTGCACCAACCACAGATGGTTGGTGCAACCTTTCCGCAGCCACCAACCTCAACTTCATACGTATTTGGTCCCTCAGATCCAGCTGATGGGCCGGGTCACCCAGATTTAAGGCCCAAAGTCTGCAGCCAGGGAACCCTGGGTGTGAAGGAGGAACAAAGGTAGCCCACCTACTCTGTCCACCCCTGAAGTTTGGGGGCTGGATTTGGCCCAGGTTCCAGGCTGTAAGAATCCCTGCCCTGAAACGATGGCTGCCCACAGCAGGGGGCGGAGCGTGGTGGGCGCCTTAGAGGTAGCCCCTGGTTACCCAGCCAGCCTGGAAGTCTGGAGTCTCTGCCTTTCCCTAAATCCAGCCACAGCCACCAGGACAGGCTTCTGGGAAGGGATTCTTAGAGGACAGGTTCATTCACTTGCAGATGTTCCCTTCAGGCTTTCTTAGATATTCACAGTTCCCATCCTAGCCTGCCCCAAGTTTTGTGTATTTGCCACGCTGCCACCTGCCCCGCTGCTACTTCCACACTCTTTCCCAATTCCTCACCCATTCTGCAGAGCCAAGTTGGGGTGATAACGCATTCTCTTCCCTGGAGGTAGAGGCAAGGGTTTGCCCCCTCCCCATCCTCAGCCAGTCCCCTTCCTCTATAATCCAGATCGGGACTTGTCTGCCCTACTCCCCCCACTGTTGCCCGCTCTGTGTCTGCCAAGATTCAGCCCGGACCTTGTATGAACTGGCCGGTTTACTATTTAGGCCTCCCTTGGATGGACTCCCTTCCCCGAGCATCCAAGCCAGGGATTTGCTCCTCCCCACCCATCAGTCTTCGCGTTGCACCCATCTTTCATAAAACGCCAGGCTTCCAGGTTCGCTCTCCCGAGATCCTCACCGGATCTTACCTCTCAGGACCTTCCCGTACCCGCCCCCCTCAAGGATCCTTGCCACCCCCCTCCAGTTTTTCCTCAGCCCCCACCTTGCACTGAGCTGTCTATTCTGCCCAAGTGCCTATTTTTGGCCCGGGACCCGGTTTTATAGTCCCCACTGTGGGTCTTGGCAGTCACAGCTCTGGCTCCGGGGATCTAAGCCAAGTCGGACTGTCTTCCCCACCCCGGGGTGGGGGAGCGGTGCAGGGCTCCCTTCGGTAGCCTCAGCCTGAAACCTGCCCCTCGCCTCACTCGGCCAGATGCCTAGGAACACGCTGGTTCCTTGCCCTACTTCTTCAAGTCCACCGGCTGCAGTGCAGTTGCTAGGCTGTGGAAATCCGTACCGAGTTTTTGCTCTTGCCGAGAACCTAAAATTCAATTTTTTTTCTCCCTTCCCCCGACCCCCTCCCAAAGCGAGACGTTTGAGGTGTTTATATAGATACTAACCTCCCCCTAACACCACCCCCCCTCCCCGCTCCTCCGGCCCGGTCAGCTCCAAGCCCTTGTCCAGTTGCCAGGGATCTTTTGCTGGGGGTCTTGTCCCATCCCGCATATTCCAGTCCTGGCTTTGCGGCCCTCCCTCGCCTTTCATTGTAGGTCTGGTCTCCCAGGGTAGCGGCCTCCTCATTGCATTCCCTCCGCATCACCCCTGGATTGTGAAACCGCTTTTACCTGCCCGCTTCGGTGCAGCCAGCGCTCCGGATCCTTTCGTGTTCGAGTCCATCCCTCCTTTTGCCCCTCCTTCTTGCACGTAGCTGCCAGGAAGACGGCCCACGCGCCTCAGCCGCTAAGCAGCCCCCTCCTGGAGCCCCCTGCGAGCCCAGGTCTGGGAACTCTAGGCCAGGTCTTGCTTGTTCCCACTGCATTAGGCATGACGCATTACTCCGTCTCCCGAGGAAGAATCCGGCCCGAAATTTGCGTGCCCCGGGTGCATTTGGCCCTGTCGCAGCTCCCTTCGTTCCTCCCATCTCTATCTAATCCAACCCGGGTTTTGCATACCCCTTCCAGATCTCTCCCATTTCTCCCCTCACCGGGCTCGGCGCCTTTCCGTTACTTCGCTACGGGCAAAATCCGCTCCGGGTCTTCCTTGAGCTTGTCTCCCCTCCCCCACTTCCCGTTCCAACGCCGGGATCCAGCTCGTCTCCTTCCCTCTCCCCGTTTTTCCAGAGGGGCTTGAGGGGGTGAAGGGGAGTAAAATCCATCCCGGGTTTTCGGGCCGGCCCCCGGTGCGCTCGGGCAGGTTGCTGCGGCCGGTCCTGGGCGGCGGCTCCGCGCCGCGTTTTATGCGCGCCCGCGCCCCCCTCCTGGAGCTGGTGCGCCGGAGAGAGGGGTGAGCAGGCGGCTTGTCATTGCTGGTGCCCGGCGCCGGCTCTGTCCGCGCGTCCTGCGGTGCCCACGGGCCCGGCTGGGCGCCCCCCCTTCAGCCACCCCGGGGGCGCGACACCGCCTCGCCTGCCTACAGCCGCGCCCCCCCTCAAGCTCCGCGGCGCCCGCCCCCTATCCGAGCCCCCTGCGGCCACTGCGGGGAGCCCGAGCCGTCGGCGCGGGAGCTGTAGTCGCTGCGGCGCCCCCGCCCCGCCGTCTGCCGAGAAGGCCCCGGCGGATGGGGCCCCGCGGGCCCCGGAGCGGCGCCGCCGGGCGGCGGGGGGCTGCAGGGGCGCCCCAGCTGCCCCGTTAACCCCTCGGCTGCCACCGTCGGAGGGGGCTGGGAAGTCGCCTGGGCGCACACGTGCAGCCTCCGTCGGGGCCGCGGAGCTGCGGGGGAGATGCGGGCAGCTGCTAGCGCCTCTTCGGGGGGCTCCGCCTCGCCCCAGCCCCCGGAGCTTTGACACCGCCCCCGCTCCGCCGCCTCCCTCCTTGGGAGGGGCGCGGACCCGGTCGCCCCCAGCCCCGAGTCTCCGCTGCCGCGAGGGGGCCGCCTTTGGAACTGTGTAATCCGCTTTTTTTTTTTTAATTTTAATTTTTGTTTGGTGGCGGTGGTGCTGGGCCCCGCCAACCCTCGCCCGTTTAACCCCCGCCCCGGTTCCGGGAGATGTGCCGGGCGGGGGGCCTGGGTTCGCGGAGCCGCAGGAGAGACGCGCAAAGCCGACCCCGGAGCGGCGCTGGACAGGTGAGTGTCTGCGGGCCCAGGGCGAGGGGGACGCCGTACCTGGGCCAGGTGTGTGGGCCGAGGTAGGGAGGGTGGGAGCCGGGGCCTGTGCTAGCCGGGAAGGGGGAGGGGATGCTGGAGCCGCGGGTCACCGCACAGGAGCGCGAGGAGAACCGAGGGCGGCCTGCACCTCACCCGCACCGGCCAGGGGACCGGGAGGGGCAGCCCCCATGGAGTGTCGGGGGTGCGGATGCGCGGCCGCGGGGTGCCCGGTGGGGGGAGGGGACCGCGAGTGTGCCCGCGCGTGGCTGCGTGTGCCCGCGCGCGCGCCAGCCTTTGTGGGGAAGCGGCGCGGCGGTGCCTGCGTGTCCCCGGTGCGTGTGCGCGCGGGTGCTTGGCGCCCTGTTTGTGTAGGTGTTTGGGTGTGAGCGGAGAGGGTGCGTGTGCGCGCCGCGCGCGGGCCCCGGCCCCCAGAGGAGCCGCGTTGGGGGCTGGCACCGCAGGATGCCGGGCTGGGGGTTGTTTTTCTCTGGGAGGCAGAGGCGCGGGGGATGGGGAGGGGTCTGTCTGGGTGTCTGGCCGGCTGTAGCCACCGAGAGCATCTTCCCTCCGCGGTACCCGGTTAAGCGTGGGAAGCTGTTGGGTTTAATCCACCCGGATTCGGGCTTTGAGAGCAAGACCTCCCTCTCTCCCAGGTGTTCACTGGGTAAAGCCTGGGGGTTTCAACTGTCATCTTTCCATCTGAGGGTCCTGTGACCGGAGTCCGTGCAGAAGAGGGTGGGCAGCGCTGTGTGTGCTCCAGCCCTGGCCAAAAAGTGGCCCCACAGGCATTTCTCCAGTGCACCTCTGGCACCCATCTGAAGACAGCCAGCCCCCTGCTTGCACACAGCCCGCACGCACATCCCTGTCCCTAGTCTCCCAGTCTCAGTCAGCACCCAGCCCCATCCCTACCCAGCACCTCACTGTACCTTCCCCCGCAGTCCACTCCTCCCTCCCCCACCTCTCCCCCCCACAGTCATGGCAGCTGCGTGGGTGTCCCTCCGTCCCAGCCTTGAGAACAGGGCCCCCTTTCCTCCCGGCTTCTGCAGGACCCAAGGCCTGGGTTCCGCTGCCCACCTCCAAACATGTGGTGTGCAGGGGGAAGCAGGGGGAGGGGCTCAAAATGGCTACCAAGATGGCTGGTTGTCTCTCCGCCTCTTTCTCTTTCTCTCCCTCTCTCTGCTTGCCCTGTTCTCTTAGCTGCTTCAGGAGTCATCGAGGAGACGGGGTTGGAGTGTGAGGATAGGTGTGGGATACTACGCTTGAGAGTGGCTATCTGCTCTGGGCCTGTGGATCTCAATCCTCCTTGGGGAGAGGCCGTTGATCTCTGCTCCCCTCTCCAGCACCCAAGGACCGGCATAAGCCTGTAACCTGACCCCAGTCCCAACTCCTTCACCCTGGCTAGCAGCCTGGGGGGCTCCCTGCCCTCCACGTGGTCTCCTAGGCCTGATGCCCTGAATCGGTCATCGGGGTGTCAGGGTGCCCCACGGAGGGTCCCCGTCTCTCATCCTCTCCATCTGCTCCATGGCCAGGGGCTCAGGACTCCGGGTCGGCCTGGGTCAGGCCCCAGCTCTGGGGGCAGGTGACTTCTCCTTCCTCCCCACTCCCCTCCCGCTAATGCCAAATGTATTGCTTAAAAGTAGGATGAAAACAGGGAGACTAAGAGAAGGAATACACCTTTCATTGTCATGTAGAGAAAGTTATCCGTGATCTTCCTAACTAGCAATTTGCCTGCCATGCTGTTCAGAACTGACTTGCCCATTAATTACAGAGATGAAAAAATCATCTGGAAAGCAGAAAAGGGAACCAATTCGATCCCTGGCTGGCAACAGTGGCCCCCACGCACCGAGCACATACGTGTGTGCTCACATGTGAGTGCCCGGCCCCTCTGCTGGCATTGCCACCTTCTTCTTCCTCATTGGCCTCCCACGGGGCCTTAGCTCACCCCATGCGTGTTACTCCTGCTCTCCAGTGCCCTACCAGGCCCTCCCTCACTCCAGGGGGTGCCCATCCCAACATCCACTCGTGGGGAGCTGGCCTAAGGCAGGATCATCCGTGCTATGTCTGCCCTTGGACGTGGAGACGATGCCCGGGGTTGGGGGAGGGCAGGTAGCTGGGGACCAGCGCATCTGGGCTGTGGGGCCTGCAGGGAGGAGGTGGAACGCAGGAGACTGGAAGCCTGGTTTCTATTCTCAGCCTGCCCTGGGGAGCCTCTTCTCCTGGGGGGGCCCAAGGAGGACCCTGCCGGCCAGTGGGGGAGGGGCCAGCGGGCGCCCTGGCCGCTCTGGAGTCTGTTCGCATCAAGCGATCTGGTCCCGGCCTGGGGTCCACCTGCATGTGCGGGGCTGCCTGCTGCCTGCGCCTGGCATCTGCGTCCTCCCTGGGTGCCCAGGCTGGCAGGAGAGAGTGTGGCGCTTCAGCCCCAGCCTGGGCATCTGGGGGTGGGGGTGCCGATCCCAGGAGGCTGTGCTGCTTGGCCCCAGAATGGGTGCCCGTGATGGAGAACAGGAGGAGAGGGATCCCCGATGTCCCCACCCTCTGGCCACGGGGAGCTGAAGTTTTCAGTCTCTGCCCCCTCCTACCTCTCCAGCCAGACGTGTGGCCAAGGACACACAGGAGGCTCTGGTTTCTGTGTGGGCTCCTCTCGAGGATTCAATTTCCAGACGCCAGACATTTCCCCTCCTCCAGACCCTCCAGGGAGGTGGGGGGGATGCTCTGAGATGGGGGTTCCCTGGGTCCGGAGCTGGACCTGACCGCACCGGCACGCCTCCCAGCTCTCGCCTCGGCCACCCTGATGAAACAGAAAGTGGGGTCCCAGGCGGGAGGGGGCCGCTGAACAGAGGTCTGGAAGTGGCTCCCACTGCCCCTGGAATCCAGTCCTCTGTTAACACATCTGTCCGCACCTGTGTGTACCCGTTCTGTGTGATTGGGATGGTGACCTGGACGAGCCTGTGTGCAGCCGGCCACGTGTCCGACAGGCTGGTCCTGTGTTCGTAAGGGTCTCCTCTGTACTCGTGTTTGTGAGTTTTGCAGAGGGGCTGGCAGTGTGTGTGTGCGTGTGCGTGCGTGTGTGTGTGTTTCCGTGTGTGAGCAGCTCTCTGCATCTTGTGGGCCCCTGCAGGCATGCTCCCAGGTGTATGTATGTAGGGCTCCTTGGAGCGAGGCTGGGTGCACCTTTTCATGAAATCTGTGGGTATTTGCCAAGTGTCTTTTCACTAGGCGCTGTGCTGGGGACGCCATGGGGACAGTGCCCCAGTCCTGTCCTCAGGGAGCACACAGTCCGGTGACAAAAGCAATTTCAGTCAAGGGGCTCCTGTTGTAGCAGTGGGGGAGAAGGCTTGTGTCTCCCCATCCAGAAGGGCCAGAGTCCCAGCTGGGGAGAGGCAGCCCTTGACTCGGAAAACAGCAGCCCCTGCGTCTTGGCACCACAGCACATCCCAATCCCGTGGGGTGTCCTGTGGTCCAAACCTGCATGACCTTCCCTGTCACCTCTTCCCCCTCACCCGCTCTCTCCTCACCGCTCCTCAACGCAGTCCTACCCCAGGACCTTTGCACTGGCCGCTCCTTCACTTGGACCCCTCAGCCAGACATCTGCAAAGACTTTGTTCCCTCACCCGCTTCAGATGTCACCTCCTCAGTAACCTTTACCCATGCAACCTGTTTAAAATTGCAGCCTCCCATCCGCCTCCTGACTTTCCGTCGCGCGGATGGCTTTTCGCACACTCTGTGATTTCCTGATATATTGTGCCTGTTTATCGTCTGTCTCCCCGACCAGGATCCAAGTGCTCAGGGAATTTGTTACTTGGTTTGCTTTCGGATGTCAGGTGCCTAGACTTATGCCTGGCCCACAGTAGGTGCTCGAGAACTCTTAGCTGAGTAAGTGGGAGGGGGCCTCTCAAAGGACTGGAGACCCCCAGGGGACTCCCCCCAGGCTTTGCACAGGGAGGGCTCCCCATCGACCCCAGTCCCTTTGGGGGATCCAGGGCTACCCACCAGGGCCCAGACCAGGCCAGCTCTGCACCTGTCCCGTGAAGACACCTGTGCGGCCTCTCCCTGAGGTGGCCTCATGGGTGCTCCTGTGTGGGAGGGTATCAGTGTGGGCAGGCGGCTCCCCTGCAGGGCTGCGTGCATATAGGGTTTAGAGCCTGGAGGGTAATGTGGGGCCCCCCTGCCCTTGCCAGGGGTAGGAGTGCCATGGTCAGGGACTGAGCAACCCCTCCTTTGTGGGAACACTAACCCAGGCTCTCTCTCACGCCCCACCCTTGTTTCAGTGGTCTGTCCCGGCGCTGCGGAATTAGCCAAGTAGAAGCCCCCCGCCACCCTCCCCCCAACTCCAAAATTTGGGGAAGATAAAAATTGCAATAATTGATGTCCAAGCTAAAAATAGCCTTGCCCACCCCCCCAAAGCTAAAAATAGCCAGGGCCTCTCCCTCAGAGGCTAAAAATACCCGGTGGGCCAGGCAGCCAGGTGGTTACTCCTGTCCAGGATAGGGGAGGTGGTGCAGACAGGTGAGGGACCCCGGGCAGGGTCTCCCAGCTGTGGAGTTCCTGACGTTGGGGCTGTGTCATTCTTGGCAGGGGGAGTGACCTGTGCCTCATAGGACTTTTTAGCATCCCTAGCCTCAACCCTCTAGATACCAGGAGCATCCCCCCCGCCCCCCACCCCCGCCAGTTGTGACACCTAAAAACGTCTCCAGACATTGCCAAACAGCCTGGGAGGAGGAGCAAAATTGTGCGCCCTCCCAGGTGAGTAGCACTGCTCTAGATCGGGGTCGGCAGAGTCCCCCTGTGAAGACCCAGACAGCAAGTGCTGGAGACTTTGGCGGGCTTACCAGTCTTCTTCTCCCTCTTCTTCTTAACCCTTTGAAAGTGGCAAAACCATTTTTAGCCCGTTGGCTGTGGGCAGTGTCCAGGCCATAGGTACCCAACCCCCACCCTGGAGCACCACCGCCCTCCCGCCCCATTGCCCCTGGTGGTGGAGG